CTTTGCTCACCGGCACCCCTGGATTCCGGCTGGCCACTTCAGGTACAAGATGGGGAGATGGACCAGGGAGCAAACAGGGGGTTCACTTCTCCCTAGGGTTGCCAAGCTCCAGGTGATGGCTGGAGATTTCCCACTATTCCAACTGATCTCTCGGCAACAGAGATCAGCTCATCTGAAGAAAATGGCCGCTTTGGAGGGTGGACTCTGTGGCCCTGTATCTGGCTGAGATCCCTCCCCTCGCCTCCCCAAACCCTGTTCTCCTCGGGATATACCCCAAAAATCTCCAGGTATTTCCCAAACCAGAGTTGGCAACCTTAATTTCCCCCCACTGTTTTGGGGCAGTTGGGTTGCCAGCTCTGAATTGGGAAATTCCTGGAGATTTGGGGTCGGAGCCTGAGGAGGGTGGGTTTTGGGGAGGGGTGAAGAGAAGAAGAGATTACATTTCTACCCCGCCCTTCACTCAAGAGTCTCAGAGCAGCTTACAATCTCCTTCCCCTCCCCACAACACACACCCTGTGAGGCAGGTGGGGCTGAGAGAGCTGTCCCGAGAACTGCCCTTGAGAGAACAGCTCTGAGAGAACTTGTGACTGACTCAAAGTCACACCAGTAGCTGCATGGGGAGGAGTGGGGAATCAAACCCAGTTCTCCCAGATTAGAGTCCGTGCTCTTAACCACTACACCAAACTGGTATAGTTTGGGACCTCAAAGGGGTATAATGCCACAGAATCCGCCGCCCCCCCAAAGCAACCATTTTCTCTAGGAGAACTGATTTCTGTTGACTGGAGAGCAGTTGTAACTCCAGGAGCTCTCCAGGCCCCACCTGGAGACAGGCAACCCTGCTGGGGGGATCTGTTTCATGTCTGGGGTGAGAGATAGCAATCTAGAGGTTGGCACTATGCATTTGCAACCGTTTTATCTTTAAATTTCCTACTGTTCTGATAGGGAGTATTGGACATTACGACGCATGCCAGTCCAGCCTCAAAACAAACACAGTAAGCAATAATGTGACTCAGGGCGTTTGAGTTCAGGTCTTTACCTTTAGCCAGGCTCAGTCCCTTTCTTTGCATATGACTGAGTCCTTTATCAGAACTGACAATTATTGCTGGCAATAAGATTAGGTAAAATGCATTTGTAGAATATACTGATTTGGCTGATAAAGCCGCAATAACCCTGTTTGGGGATCGTCATGTGCCCAATATTCATAGAAAAACACATCAATTAAAAAAAAAACCCTCACGTAACAAAAGATCTGAATACTGGGGCGCTTCACATCCTTCGTTAGATCCTACCGTGTTGTCTCATAGCTACTTGCACGTTCCTCTAGCACAGGGGTGGTAGGATCCAACCCACGAATGCATAGGTTGGCATTAACAAACATGTTTTCAAATGCTTGAAAGTTGCTGAGGAAATATTTCTTTACACAGAGAGTGATTAAAATGTGGAATTCGCTTCCAGCTGATGTAGTAAGGGATGCGGGCATGGATAACTTTAAAAGAGGCTTAAATTCATGGAGGAGAGGGCTATCCATGTGGCTACTAGCCATGGTGACTAAAGGAAACCTCCCCATTCAGCGGCACTAAAGCTCCGGAATGGTGCCAGGAAGCAACATCAGGGGAAGGCCTCAGCCCTCCAGAGGAACTGGTCGGCCACCACGTGAGACAGGATGCCGGTCTAGATGGACCATTGGTCTCATCCAGCAGGGCTCTTCTGATGTTCTAATGAGGGGAAGGCCTCAGCCTCTGCACCCTATTGTTGGCTCTCCAGAGGAACTGGTTGAGGCCACTGTGTGAGATGTGATGCTGGACTAGATGGACCCTCACTGGTCTGATCCAGCAGGTCTCTTCTGACGTTCTTCTGAGGGGAAGACCTCAGCCTCTCTGCCCTGTTGTTGGCCCTCCAGAGGAACAGGCTGAGGCCACTGTGTGAGACAGGATACTGGACAAGATGGACCCTCACTGATCTGATCCAGCAGGGTTCTTCTGATGTTCTTATCAGCGGAAGGCCTCAGCCTCTCTGCCCTGTTGTTGGCCCTCCAGAGGAACTGGTTGGCGACGTTTAAGACAGGATGCCAGACTAGAGGGACGACTGGTCTCATCCAGCAGGGTTCTTCTTAGGTTCTTATGAGGAGAAGGCCTCAGCCTCTACAACCTACTGTTGGCTCTCCAGAGGAACTGGTTGAGGCCACTGTGTGAGACGGGATGCTGGACTAGATGGACCCTCATTGGTCTGATCCCAGCAGGGCTCTTCTGATGTTCTTATGAGGGGAAGGCCTCGGCCTCTCTGCTCTGTTGTTGGCCCTCCAGAGGAAATGGTTGAGGCCACTGTGTGAGATGGGATGCTGGACTAGGTGGACCCTCACTGGTCTGATCCAGCAGGGCTCTTCTGATGTTCTTATGAGGGGAAGGTCTCAGCCTCTCTGCCCTGTCTTTGGCCCTCCAGAGGAACTGGTTGAGGCCACTATGTGAGGCAAGATGCTGAACTGGATGGACCCTCACTGGTCTCATCCAGCAGGGCTGTTCTTATGTTCTTATGACTGGCTGTGCAGATGAAAAAGCATCCTGTTTAGCAGAGCTTCTGCCTGAAATGTTGAAGATTTACTATTAGAGTTGTATATAACCTCGATCCCTGACATTTTGTGGTTGGCCCCACCTCCTGCAGCAGCCATTTTGTGATTGGCTCCTCCGGCAGCCATTTTTTGATTGCGCCCACCGCCCATTGTCAGAATTCCAAAGGTGCCCACAGGCAATACACTTTAACTTAAAGATCTATTTTCTTTGCTAAAAGTACAATTTGGTTCTGTGCAGAGCTGCATTTGGCTACAGAGCCAGCAGCTGAACGCACAAATCGGTCTTATAGTGAATCAGCCCATCAGTCTATCAAGGTC